ATTGTTGCGTCCTCTGGGAAGAGAGGAAACAGAACGATTGATTAGCTTGATAAGAGATAATTTATTATCAAATGGATACATGGAAACGTTTGATATGCTGTATTCACAGTTTGCAGAGCCAAAAACCATTTTTACCAGGAACACTAATTAATGTGATACCAATGGAACTGTCAATTGCACATGCACTGGCATACACCAAGAGCTGCAATGACAAGGGAGTGACAGATAATCATATGCTTCATGCATTTAATTGTGCAAAGAAGCGCTTGTGAAGTTCCCAAACAACAAGCTTAGGAAAAATCAGCATTTCGCTGAAAGGACGTGATTCATAGCCAATGACCACATTATACCTCAAACATGGGATAATGAGAGCTCCTAAATTATAAAGTGTTCATCAACACATGTTGGATGAAATAGCAATGAGGTCTCTAATGTGTAACAAGAATGAATTCAGTGCACATGATCTGGGTACAAACTATCAAGTGCTTCAAGTCCATTAAAATAAATTAGAGAATAAAAGCTGTGAATGACAGTCCCTTTTCAGCAGCCAAAGTGCAAATCAAATGCTGCATTACAGGTGGTGTAAGGCTTCACTGCACCACTCAAGATTCCCACAGTTTCTACAAGGCATAATACTCTTGTTGTTCCGTGTAAACAAGAATAAAAAAATGTCACCATGCAGTGTGACTATGCGATGCCAATGAAGGCCTCTCTGCTTCTCAAGCTGTAGCAATAGACATTTCCATGTACGTTTAAAGCACACAAAAAATCCTATCAATATTGTTCGTGTATCACATCGTGCTCTAAAGGTACACACTTACACAAATGTCATCTAGCAAGGACGGACTTAATACACGCAACCTCTTGGAAACGTCAAGGTTGATACAGTGGTCTGACTTTCCCATGTGAGCGCGCACCGCCTCTCATCGGCAACGCACGCGACTGACAAATTGTTCCAGCCGTGAAACGTTCGTTTCCCAAATGGACGGGAAAGACGCAATTCTGACCTGTGTCCTCGAGTAAACCAAAAACGGAAGCTGGGTTAATACCATTCTCAATAGTGACACAGGGAACTAACATGTGACTTCTCATATTGGATGATGAATTCCCATAATGCCAATTCACAGGCCCTCAGAACGGGTTAAAAACCAGCTGACAGTTCTGAAATGTTCTTATACGACAGATTAAAAAGAAGATACAAGTAAATAGAGGACGTATCTGTAGCCACCTTGGCATTTTGTTGGGACTGA